AATATCAAGAACACCAAAACTACTCTGGCTACCATTATGGGTATTTCATGCTAGTGTTGTTACTGGATTCTTCCATACGATAGGTGTAGTTGTAACAGGTCTTTCAATCCTAGACTATGTTTTTTTGGTTAGTATCCACCGTCTGTTCGGTCTTCGCAAGCAGCGCCAGTGGTTATTTACTTTCTCGTGGGTGCCAATCGTTAATTCGTGTCGTCCATCGTTGTCGGCAAGGCGAGCAACAACACCTTCTCTCCATCGATAAAATTAGCGCTTTTTTTCCAGGTGAAATGCATCTTTTGCTTGCACAATCGTCCGCATCCGCGACTGGCACGTGGCGAGAGCTATTCATGCGGCTATAAGCCGTATCGATGCGAAATATGTAAATATAGCACAACAACGAAGGGCAATTTGAGCATCCACATGCAAAGTGACAAACATTTACATGCGATCCAGGAGATGCCATCACCTGTCGCTGGTATAATTTGCACTAAAATCCACTAATTTCAGCCGCTCCACCGGTTTCGAGAGATATCAGTGTAATTGTACCAAAGTTTTTTTACGGGCCAAATTGTGGCCGAATGGTACCCGCCTTTTTCAAAGTCATTTTCTTCGAACCGCATTTTCTCCTAAAAACATTTAAAGAGTAATTTTTGGTTGTGCTAGTGGTATTTTATCTATCAGCACGAACGTTCCGCAGAGGAGGGATTCTTTTCAGAAAACGTAAAACTAGTTTTTGGTTTTTAGGATATTTTTGCGCGAATCAAGAGCGTTTTTGTCATTTTGCTACCAATTCGCATGTTTAAATTCATTTCAGGTGGCGGGCTTTCGCTCTCTGGGGATGATCTGAATACGGAAAATCTACTTCAGTGCATGATTTGCTCCACATATTCAACTGATAGTGCAAACGAAATGCTCGAACATATCGGTATTTTTATATTAGGCTTTGGCAGCTTAAATCGCATAATTCTCTGGAATTTCTTGGGATGTTGCTCCATATTTTCAGAAATCCCGTAATGCACTGTAACTGTTTCGTTGGTTTCTGTCGCCCGGGAGTACTCCTCTTCACAGCTTACGTGCTTGTGGATCATGTACATTTTCTCCAAAATTTTATGAATTTTTTTAGAAAAAGATCGAAGTCATCCGGTGATTGGAGACATTTCGGTGATCCATGGTCTATATCAGTGCAATCTGTGCCCATACAGTACAAGCTTGAAAGCCAACTTTCAACTACATACGAGAACCGACAAGCATGTACAACGAGTACAAATGGTAAACTTC